TCTTTTCTAAAAAGGAAAGTCTATATCTTACTGATAAGAGCACAAATCCAATTTTGGTCTTCGAATTCGTCTTTAATAAAAGATCACTTATAACCTGTGGGTTAACATGGGCGCCTTTTTTTCATCATACTGTATAAAGGTAATCAACTGTACCAAATTTTGTAATTTCATCTAAAATGGTTTTAAAATATTGGACAAAATCCATTAAAACATGCACCCCTTTCAGGGAGTGTAGCTCCGTTGCATACTATTTTTCGATAAATGTTCATAGAAAACTTTTATCATAAAATTTAATATTACATCAATTTGTAACAATAAAAACAGAACACCCTGTATAATTTCAAACTACTAGAAATTTTAAATATATTACTGGCTCCATTTTGACTTCGGGAAGTGAGCTATTACAAATTATTATATCAAAGCCGATAAGAGAGGGCAAACAACACTTACCGGATTGTTACTTAATGCTTTTATTTTTACATTTTTTCAAAAACGTTAATATAACGTTATAGAAAAAGTGTCACATGTAACATTAAAATTTTTGTCCAACACTAATATCTTATACTGTTTGTAAGGTACATATTAAGGTACCTTTTATATTGCCCTTAATATACGCTCTTCTATAAAATACGTCGTCAATCACATCGTTTTTTTATAAGTACATAAAATATACTTATCCTGGCATTTTGTCAATTGTGACATTATTTTGACAAATTTCTTTTTCAATTTAGTAAAATTTCTGATACAATATAAGTGCTGGAAAAATTTTTGAACACTACAAGTTTTATAATTTAAAAATCGCTCCCCAACGATCGCTCGAATTTAAACAAGACATAGATTTTTAAAGTGCCTATAAAATTCTTGTTGTCTCAATTATTTTATTTGACTTACCGGAAAATTATTAAAAATGAATCAAACTACAACGGTTTAAAATTCATAAATTATGCTTTATTACTAGGTCCTGACAGTAAAAATCACAGGGAGGTTAAATGGCATTGGTGACACCACCAGCCTAAGCACATTATAATCGGCTCATTTTGCATCGCGTGACTCCCAATTGATCTATCACACTACGACAATAAAGAATTTGCGACGTAATATTTAAATAAGTTGGAAAGACGTGAATTAAACAAATTACATTGTAAAACTTTTTCGTGCGTGTTTCGGCAAAAAAAATCGTTTCACTTGCGTCCGGGTCAAATCAGTGAACACTGCTGACATAATAAAGCCACAGATAAAACAAAAATCGGATTTTTTGCGAAGTAGACGCAACTCTGTGATTAATTAAAACGCGATTAAAGGAATTTTCCATTTTAGTAGGTTGAGCAAAGTGGTCGATAAAAGTGAGAGATAATTATGGTTCTTTTACGGCGTCGAATTTATAATAATTGGTAAGTAGAAAAGAAGAGGAAGACCCAAGGGTTGCTTTAGGTGCAACAACTAATCGTTTTATCGGCGATAAAGAATTTTTAACGTGGTAAGAATGCTAGTAAATTTTAGCGAAATAATACAAGACAATACAGACCATGCACAAGTACTTTATAATCAATTTATTTTGACTCCGTTGAAAAGAGGATACTCAATAGTGTATTGGATTGTGATTGACAAGTGACACATACATGTGGACGCCAAACAAAACCTCAAGGATATTAAAACCCACACTTTATCGTTTACCAAACGTTAATTAATTTAACATTTAGCTCGACATGATGAATTAGCGTCGAAAATTAAAATCCATGGATAGGTGATAAGTTCATCGTGCCGTGATTATTATGAAACAAAGGATTCATTTAAACTGTGTACAGGCACGGTGTATACATAACTGACCAATAGTTATGACCATTTTAGTAATTAGCTTCAATTTTAATGACAATAAGCTGTAGCTAAGCTATTTGGATAACTCTGTAGCTTATAGGTTATCATTTTCACCAGTGGCTAGCAGCTTCTATTTTAATTTAAGCCATAGATACTTAGAATTTTTTTTTCACCGTCAACAATTTGTTTTTAAAGCTTTTGTACAATTTTAACTCTTTGTAAAAGCTTTGCATTTTTTGTTTCGTTATTTACATATCAATTTTATAGTACTTTCTCTTACCTAAGGTAAACCATTTGTTGTTAAATATTTCAATTAGAAATTGCCTAACACAATATTTTTTTGGTCTCACATAAGTACGCTTATACTTACTTTGAAATTTAGTAAGTAAGATGAACAAAAACACGATTAGCCCGTCACACCAAACTTTTATTTAAAACACAACGCGTTTCAACCACAAAGTGGTCATCCTCAGGTGAGAATAAAACTTTTTATTTTTTTTTATTTATTTTATTCTCACCTAAGGATGACCACTTTGTGGTTGAAACGCGTTGTGTTTTAAATAAAAGTTTGGTGTGACGGGCTAATGGTGTTTTTGTTCATCATTTCCATACCAAGAAGATCCAAGAAGAAGAAGAATTTAGTAAGTAGTAAAGTAAAAAATTTCTTTCACATACAAAGTTTATTTGTCCATAATAATCGAAAAAATTAACTCTAGAGTAAAAATATTCAGTTGTAACACAGATTCTCCTTTGAAACACAAATTCAAATGTTTCTGGTCTATTTCACCTCAAAAAACACAGTTTTCACTCTCCCTCGGGTGAGAATTTTCACCTCTGTCACAGTTTTGACATAAGAAAAGTAGTTACAAAACTGTTATACGTATACGAAAATATCGAATTTTAAAAGAATTAGATAATCTTATAAAAACAGTAGAGCATTTTTACATTAAAAATAATTTTTTATTTGGTTTTCGAGGTACTGTGGAAATGTCGAAGTTTCGTAGCTTAGGTATGAAACAAAAATCTCAAGCTCAGCTACTTTTTTAAGTCGATGACTGTGCTCTGAAAACGTCGAAATAAATTTATAAAATAACTGTAAATGCTTTCAAAGCACATAACAACAATAAAAAGTAAGATATTCGAGCCCCTTTCTATTTTGATAGTCATCTCGCTACCTCTCTTATTACAGTTCGCCCTAGCGTAATAAGGTGTTGGCTTTACGATGGCGCTGTATTCGGTTTACCACGTCGTTAATCCTCTTCCGTGAACGGACCTTTCCAATTTAGTTGCAGTTTCAAACACTGACCTTTCATCTCTTGGGATAAATAATGTGCATAGAAGAAATTAGAAAAACATTAAACCCTAGCTTTATTTGAGTTTATGAATTCGGCTGGAAAACTGTAATTAGAATTGCGTATTTTCTCTTTGTTTTTTTTATTCAAAACCATCAATCGGTCGAGTTTAAATTCAACCAATGAACCATAACAAAAAATCAATTCCATTTAAATTTAACACCCGTTTCATTAAAATTTGACCGCAGTTATTACTGTGACAAAATGTAATTAATGTTTAAAATTTTTTGATACACATTTTTCTCTTTGTAGGTAATATAAAGTTTGGTGCTCACTATGCAAACAGAAACTATAACGCGAGCATATTTGAAATTAAAGTGCAATTACAAATACAATGCTATTACTAAAATTAAATCTTCATATGCAGTACCTACTTTGACAATATGTACTTACTAAAAATACAGGGTGCACCAGAACTCGCACCACAGAGAAAAATGTCAAATACCAGCGGCAATAAGTCGCCAAAAAGTGCAGCCGAAGAAGTAACATCTGCTTGCATAAAAAAGTTGCGAGACTCTTAATTCAACCAATGTGAGTTAAGATACCATAAACATAAAAAAATGTAAAAAAAATCGGTCTATAAAAATTTCAAAGTTATGAGAGTTTAAATTTTCTATTTATTTTCCAAGTTTTTACTACAGGCTATTACAGTGCGATCAAAAAGTCTTTCTATCAAGTAGGCGTCCTAGTTGAGGACGTATGTTGCATGGCAGTTCGTATGTTATCTAGATGTCAAAAATTATTTTATAAAAATTAAAACATTGAGCTAATTACATTGAATTATCCTATGAAACGTCTCAAAACAAACTAAAATTAGATTTTGTTGGTGTTTATCCATAAAAATCGTTCACCACGGTTTCCTGTTATAATTTACATAAAAATTATTTTGACATTTCTCATTTATCATTGTGACATTTTATCTTCTACAGACATACGTTTTAAATTTCTACGCTTGCTTGATAGACAGACTTTTTGATCTCACTGTAGAAGGGGAAATAAGGAAGCTGTATCCTAAATTGTAACTTTGTATAATGTTATTTGTAGCTTTTATTGGCAAAATTTTGTATCTTTACTAAATAATTATAAAAGAACAGATACAAGATCATCAGTATTATTAAATAGACATAAAAAATGTCAAATGTCAAAAAATAAATCTCAAAATTTTTTGACAGGTAGAATTTTTTAAACTTTTTTCCGTTATCAGTATTCTTAAATACACATAAAAAAATGTCAAATGTTAAAAAATAAATGTCATAATTTTTTCCATGTTCCTGGTATCTAATCTTACTTGAAATTCACTGGGGCGCGAGTTCTGACACACCATGTATATGCGGCCCCATGTTTATTAAGACTTTTTTGTTTGTTTTGGTCCTGAAATATTTTACAATGTTTTTAAACTCCTTGTATATTTTTTTAAAGTGTCGCAAAGCAACTTGCGAAAATGTAATAGTGGTTGCATCAAAAAGTTATTTTAAATAATACTTTTTGACTCTATAATGTGAAGTAATTTTAGAATTCGTACGGATTTTCTTTTGTAGTGGTACATCGGGAGTAATAAAAAATTAAATAAATTAGAACTGCAAAAAACGATTAAAGCTGTTGTGTAAATTTGGGTCATATTGAAAGATTAAAAAACGCTGTAACATGCGTTATCTGATGTTTAAACGGACACACATTGCTGAAATTGATCGAATAGTTTTACCAAAGGTCTTTGCATAGCTGTACTCAAGATCGACTTGCTAATGAAGTAATTTGCAATATTCTGTGGTATGGTCGAAAATGACAAGATCGTCGTCATTCTCTGCCCGTCAAAGCCATAAATCCATCACTCACCCCGTCTGAACGTCTCTCTATCCTCAAAACTCCCTGTAAACAATAAACACGTAAATAAATATCGACCTTAACGCTCCTAAATGGTGCTTTTTCCGCCGTACCGAATTTTCCAAGAAATACCGCCGTTCGAGGGCCATAGATCCTAATATATTGCAGTAAGTTTACAAAGTCGAGCGGCGTTCCCAATAAAAACGTCAAATCGCGTGTTTGCATATTGTTACTGAAGTGGCACCACAACACAGCACGAAAGATTATTTCGGGCCCGCAGCCAGGGCCGCACTGGCCCGATGCAGCCATCGCGTGTCTGAATATTGTTAGTGACGTCATTGAGACGCCGACTTGATAGGGCCTCGCGTGTTGGACACGACCACATTACCGACATTGCAGCACGAATTCTGGGCCCGGTTATCGAGTTACAAATTGGACCGACTCGTAATTATTTTCCAAGTGGGCCGAAACTACTACAATAGACTTTGAGGTTCGATAAATTGAAGCGGAAAACATTCATAACTGATGTTAAGGAGGCGAACCGATAAGAAATCCAGAGGAGTGGCACCAAGAGGTTAGAAAATACTACATATTGTATGTACCATCGCGGTCAATATATACTGGTATAGCAAAATTTTAATTGTTTAAATCTGGCTTGAGGGAACATAATTAATTGCGTTAGCAAGCTATGATTATGAAATAGCAAGGTGAGTTTGTGAAAATACAAATCCAAAACGTCAAAGTTCTCAGACAACGCAGTCTATCACAAAGTCATAAATTTATCATTTTATTCGTAAAACTTGATTCCAAGAACCGATTTAATGCCTATTTAAGAATCATATGACATATTTGACATTACCATGACAAATACTTAACCTTTACTCGAAAATTATGACAAATCCGACTTACATACAAAAATAGTGTCTAAATCAAAATTTGAATTTTAGAAGTGTCTACAGTAACACACTGTACCAGTATATTTTGACTTCAATGGTATATACAAGTTTGTCTTTTCTTCACAATATTCACATTTCTCACTGTTTTGCTTAAGCTCAACTTTTTTGCCAGAAGGGAAAAACCTAAATATAAAGAAAATTTGCGAACTAGAGATGCTAATTTTGTAAGAATTTTTAAATACAGGGTGTCAGAACTCGCGCCCCAAAGAAAAATGTCAAGTAATATGAGATACCAAGAACATGGAAAGAATGTTTAAAAAATTTCATCTGCCAAAAAATTTTGACATTTATTTTTTGACATTGTACATTTTTTATACGTATTTAATGGCACTGATGATCTTATACAGTATGTCCCCCGATTGAGTTTACAAAAGGAAAAAAAATCTTTGATTTTACACCAAAACTGCAAAGGAAAAAAAGTTTTTGCTTTACTTGAAACCAGTAAATCTGTAATTAAAACTTCATTATTCTAATTCAGTAGAAAGAAAAGTTTATTTTTTTCTTGATTTTTAAGTCTTATCACATTGGCGCTTTTAATTATTTGACAACTATATGTCACTTTGACAATTAATTTATTAATTAAATAATGATAGTTCTTGTTAAAAATGACTTTGGTGTTTACCTTAAAGCTGTTTCTTTGAGTTGCTGTTTATTAGAATTATGTTTTTTACAAACATTTTTGTTATTTAACTTGCGTAAACTCATTTGTCAAAAWAATAAAACCGCCAATGTGACAAGACTTAAAAAGCAAAGAAAAATTATTCCAAAATAAGTCCAAAATCTAGAGAAAAATGAACTTTTCTTTCTACTGAATTAGAATATTGAAGTTTTAATTACAGATTTACTGGTTTCAAGTAAAGCAAAAACTTTTTTTCATTTGCACTTTTGATGTAAAATCAAAGATAACATTTTTTTTCTCTTGTAAACTCAATCCGGGGACATACTGTAGGTATATGTTTTTTTTAGAATTTAGTAAAGGTACAAAATATTGCCAATAAAAGCCACAAATAACATTAAACAGAGTTACAATTTAAGATACAGCTTTTTTATTTCCTCTTCTCATCGCCTGTAGCAAAAAAACTTGGAAAATTATTTTTCCAACAGAAATAAGAATTTTTTTAACATTTTTTCTATGTTCCTGGTATCTTACCTTACATGGCATTTTTCCCTGGAGCGCGAGTTCTGGCGCACCTTGCATTTGTTAACTTTTAACCGGAGATTTTAAGTGTTAATAGAAAAGACTTTTTAAAATTTCTTTTTTAAGACAATTTTGAGTCTAAAATTAATGTCATAAACGTTATAATCCAAAGTTTTTGGGTATCCTTAACGAGAAATTCTAAATACATAATACACAGTGTTAAAAAATATTGTCAAATATTTCAGGAGGTAATAGTGTGGACCAAAATAAACAAAAAAGTCTTAATATACATGGATTCGCAAAGTAACGGTTTCAGAGATATAAAAAATTATTCGTTTTTTGAAACATTTATTTGCAACCTGTTCAAACAAAAAAGAGAAGAGCTTCTAGTAAGAATTCTAAAAATGTTCACATTTGATATTTACGAAACCGTTACCTTGCGGACTCATGTTTATTAAGACTTTTTTGTTTATTTTGGTCCATACTATTAACTCCTTCAATAATTTAACACCCTGTATTTATAATTTTAAAAAATTATAAAAAACTTTTATGTAGTATAAAGTTTTATTTATTTTTTTCGTATATGATGATGCGAGATTTATCTCCAAATTTTATATTTATAATAAATACATTTACGTAATTTTACGAAGCCTGCGCCTGTATGATGCAATCAATTATACATATTCCGATACGAACTGGATTACAAATTTTGAAAAATTGAATAATTTTCTCTAGTTTGTTTAAAAAATTACGTTTTTTGTTATTAGTGATTAAGATAGACAAACTAGAATCAAAATCATGCCGTCTCTTGATAGAACAAATGATAATTGTTTCTGAAAAACTGCAGTTTACGACTATTAATGAAACAGTGATTAGTTTGACAACTACTGTCATGGGTTTCCAAAAACTAAATAATTAGAAGTGTATTTTTTGTATCCCGTGTTTTGTGACTTTTGTATATTTGGGTGCGGACATTAGGCGCAAGCCTCGTAAAGGTGTGTGAATCACCCTGTATATACCTATACAATGATGTTGAAGACCTTTGGAAGATAAAATCGACAAGTAGGGGTCTTGCACTGCAAACAGATTTTTATCTACTTAGACAAATATAAACTTTATTGCAGGCACTTACATAAAAAGTCTCGCAAATAGCTTTGTTCCTAGGAAGGTAATCGTATGTAGTTTATAAACTCGGGCGATCATGTAATAAAACAAACAACATGGTGTTTTACTTTTATTTTCTGCATTTATTTTGTAAAACGTAACAAGCACGGTTGCTAATAAACTAGAGTATGATTAAGGTAATGGTACAAATTATATTGTTACATAATAGTGGAATATAACATCAAGGCAGTAAAGCAGTTTACACAACCCTCACCCGGAAATTTCAAAAATATTGCAAGCTTAATTTAATGTCGAAAGACTTGACTCTAATCTGCGCAATAATGAATTACGCTTCAGACACTCTCGTAAGAAATCCCTTATCACAATCCCAAGATAAGAAGTTGGTTAATTATTAACTTCCCGTTGCTTTGATACAAGAGGTAATTCACAATACTAATTAATCAGTGGTGCGTGCAAGAAATCGTGTCGTTAGCCTTCCAGATATTGCAAAAGAGTAGCAAAAAAAGATAAATATTTTCTTCTTGTGCAATTAGCACAACTCTTAGCTCCGATAAATTAGACCGACAGAGGGCTCACTTATTTTCTGAACGGTCTTGATAATAGAATAATGTTGAGCTTTGCTCAAGCAAATGGTAGTTTTTCCGATAAAATCCGTTTTTACGAGCGGGCCGTAGCATTATGAAGTTTACTGAGCTCAGTGTAAAACTGCCGTATTGATTCTTTATAACGTAATTCTTCTGGTATCAAAAATAACTTCTCGCAAACTTTAAGCACTTGGATTTTTTTTTTGATAATGGCACGAATAAAATAATAACCGTCTCAGGACACTAAAATGGCACTAACATTTCTCATTTGTCGAAAATGAAACGCATCCACATAAAAGGACTTATAACCCTATAATAAGAGCGGCGGAAATAAAACTAATAGTAAAATTCGTGACAGATTGCCTGAAAGGCGAAGTAATTGGACGAAGTTGGACGTTCAGCCCCGCATATAAAATTTCAAATGCAAAAAGAACGGCAATAGTCCTTAAAAGCAATGTTGTACTCCACTTTACTACATGCAGTTAGACTTCCAACAACGCCACTTCTTTCCTTTCTCTACAACCTCTTATATCTCGAGCTTTTACAGCTAAGACAACTCGACAAGGAAGTTGTAAAGCTGAATTTCAGCGTAGTTTCATTACGAAATATTTCAGTCAAAGTTTTTCCTTTTGAAAAAACCCGCCGACTTTTACTTTGTGTATATTGCAACATCTTGTTGCGATTACCTGACAAAAATTAAAAACTAAACGACCCCATAAAAGTGTCTTTGAGGCGAACTTGACTCGCTGTTAACGTCACGCGCATCCCTCCATAAATGGATTAGTTGCAAGAAAATGTGTCATTAAGAGAGGCACCGAGTTGGGCTCTTAACACCCAAGAAAATGTAAAAATATCGCTCTAACTCGCTTAAGATTCCATTAGCAACGCAAAGAGAAAATTATGTCAATAATATAGAATCTAAAAGTTACTCACATTCTTTAACACTTACGAGTATTTACTGAAACAATTATTATTATTTACAACAAAACATTTTAGTCCAAAATAATAAACAAGCTTAAATTAACTAATGAAACAGCTAAAAGATTTATTGATGCAAATAGCATAAAGTTCTAAAAGTGATTGACCCTAAGTTACAAAAAAAATTATACAGGGTGTCCAGCGAGTTGAAAAAATCTATTAGTGACCTTTAAATGGTAAAATTAAAAAAAAAAATTGTATAGGACATTGATAGGTACTAATCTGGTCTATCGCCTAAAATTATTTTCAACTATACAGATGTCT